AATGGAATTGCTGAGCCGAAAGGTGTGCACGCATAAATGAAATTTTGATAGGCCGGGTGCAGTGGCTCATGACTGTAATCGAGTTTGAGACCAGTCTGGCCAACATGGTGAAACCCTGTTACTACTAAAAATACAAAAATTAGGCTGGGCGCAGTGGCTCACGCGTGTAATCCCAGTACTTTGGGAGGCTGAGATGGGCGGATCACGAGGTCAGGAGGTCGAGACCATCTTGGCTAAAATGGTGAAACCCCATCTCTACTAAAAATACAAAAAATTAGCCGGGCGAGGTGATAGGCGCCTGTAGTCCCAGCTACTCGGGAGGCTGAGGCAGGAGAATGGCGTGAACCCGGGAGGCGGAGCTTGCAGTGAGCCGAGATCGCGCCACTGCACTCCAGCCTGGGCGACAGTGCGAGACTCCTTCTCAAAAAAAAAAAAAATACAAAAATACAAAAATTAGCCAGGCATGGTGGTGCACGCCTGTAATCCCAGCTAATCGGGTGGCTGACACAGGAGAATCACATGAACCCGGGAGTGGAGGTTGCAGGGAGCCAAGATCACACTATTGCACTCCAGCCTAGGCGACAGAGTGAGACTCCATCTTCAAAAAACAAAAAGAAACTTTGATACATATTACTAAATTGTCTTCCTTATCAGTAGTGCTAATTTAGACTTCCACCAATAGGGTTTTCGTAGGACAGGTTTGAAAAGAAAGGCTGGCCGGGCGGGGTGGCACACACCTGTAATCCCAGCACTTTGGGAGGCCGAGGTGGGTGGATCATGAGGTCAGGAGATCGAGACCATCCTGGCTAACACGGTGAAACCCCATCTCTACTACAAACACACACAAAAAATTATCCGGGCGTGGTGGCGGGCGCCTGTAGTCCCAGCTACTCGGGAGGCTGAGGCAGGAGAATGGTGTGAACCCAGGAGGTGGAGCTTACAGTGAGCCAAGATTGCGTCACTGCACTCCAGCCTGGGCAACCGAGCGAGACTCTGTCTCAAAAAAAAAAAAAAAGAAAAGAGAAGAAAGAAATGGCAAGTAAGACATATGTGATACTTTTCCTGTACCCAAGGTGGACGTGACTCAAATTTGCTGACCTCTAATTTCATGAACTAAAAATGGGTTTCATTTTATAAAATAATTCATTTTCTAAGACATTTTTGAAGAGAGAATACTAGATAGTTAAGTTCCCACAAAAAGTAATTTAATTTCATAATAGAGAACAATTTTTATGTTAATAGTTTTACAGAATCTCACATTTGAATGAATATGAATTTCATTTCTTCGGGGAATGCCAGGGGAGTGTTATAATACCTTGGAGTTGTGCTTCTTACAGGCAGCACAGCATTCTCAGAAGCAGTCTACTGAGCTCTTCCAGTGCATGTACTTCAAAGACAAAGACCCTGCCACCGAGGAGCGTTGCATATCTGATGGAGTTATTTATTCAATTCGAACAAATGGTGTGCTTGTATTTATACCCAGGTATGTTACATCTAATGCAATGGTGCATAACAAATCATCGGTAAAAGTGTAGAACACAAACTGTACATAGATACAATTTATTAAGATATTTAAGCAACTAGTTATATGTACATAATGTAACATATGATTCAGTATATAAATGTGAAGATTGGAGGCCAGGGGTGGCTCACGCCTATAATCCCAGCACTTTGGGAGGCCAAGGTGGGCAGATCACCTGAGGTCAGGAGTTCGAGACCAGCCTGGCCAACATGGTGAAACCCCGTCTCTACTAAAAGTACAAAAATTAGCCGGGCGTGGTGACGCGTGCCTGAAATCCCAGCTACCTGGGAGGCTGAGGCAGGAGAATCACTTGAACCCGGGAGGCAGAGGTTGCAGTGAGCCAAGATCGTGCCATTGCACTCCAGCCTGGGTGACAGAGCAAGACTCTGTCTCAAAAAAAATAAAGTGAAGATTGGAATGTGTGTATATATATACACATCTATGTCCATTTTAGGGTCTTTCTTATCTAACAAAATACTTTGTTTCCATCTGCTAAGGTGAAATAAATACTTGGAGGTAAACCACAGGAAAAGTAATTTGTTTTTAATCTAGGAGAAAAACTAGTATTCTAGATAAGCATACAAGATCTGTGTACTAAGAATACATTGTCTCTGGATTTATATTCTGGTCATAATATAGGTTTGGGATTAAAGGTGCTGCTTATCTAAAAAATAAAGATGGTTTAGTCATCTCATCTGGCCCAGATAGCCGTTCTGCATGGAAACCAGGATCCCTTCAACGATTTCAAAACAAAATTACCTCTACTACAACAGATGGGGAATCTGTTACGTTCCATTTGTTTGACCATGTAACCGTAAGTCTGTGTTTCTATTAAGTATTATTAATATTTAAAATGTAAGGAACAAATAATGTGATTTAGTAATATGTATTTTCTTCTCTATGCTAGGTAAGAATATCCGTACAGGCCTCACGTTGCCATTCTGATACAATCAGACTTGAAATAATTAGTAACAAACCATACAAGATACCAAATACAGAACTTATTCATCAGAGCTCCCCTTTGCTGAAGAGTGAGTTAGTGAAAGAAGTAACTAAATCTATGGAAGAAGCTCAGCTTGCCCAAGAGGTCAAAGTAAACATCATTCAGGAAGAATATCAAGAATATTGCCAAACAAAGGGAAGGAGCCTATACACACTTCTAGAGGAGATACGGGACCTAGCTCTCCTGGATGTTTCAAACAATTATGGAATATGAAAGGCTCTTACTTCACTAAGAGCTGTCATATGTGAATGTTTTACAGTCTTTTCAAACTTAACATTTAATGTGTGTCACTCAGTGCTCTAGTTGATCAGGACTGGGTAACTATTTCACATATATGTAAAATGTTCTCAGCCGGGCATGGTGGCTCATGCCTGTAGTCCCAGCTACTTGGGAGGTGGAAGCAGGAGAACTGCCTGAACCCAGGAGGAAGAGGTTGCAGTGAACTGAGATCACACCACTGCATTCCAGCCTGGGCAGCAGAGCAAGACTCCATCTCAAAAAAAAGTTATCTCATTCATTGAAGTTGCATTAAATAAAGTATAATTAGGTCACTATGGAAACTGAGTTTTCAGTAATGAGTGGACAGTAAGTGGTGGCTCTGCAGATTGCTAGCCCCTTTCTAATAGTTTAATAAACCCAAAATTATTGGTTATCTTGTCTCCAATCAGTTCTTTCAAATGTTTTATTTTTCCAGTAATTACATTTGGATCATAGGCCCCTCTGACATCTGTCAGGTAATTTTCAGTCACTTTCAGATAATAAGACTTAGTCCTGAGTCCACCTCTCTGCTTAAAACTCCTATTTCATATTTGACTCAGTCCTTCCCTGCTGTCTCCAATACTAGTTGGGAATAGGACACAGGGCAGGTGGTAAGGTGCAGGTAAAGTTCTGTCACAGGCCTCCCTTCCCACCCTCCCACTTTGATGAGGTGCATTGGCCTTCCCCTTGTTGAAAACTCGTTACTTTGCCAGCAAACACCCCACTAGAAAAATTAACTCTTGGCCAAGCATGGCGGCTCACACCTATAATCCCAGCACTTTGGGAGGCCGAGATGGGTGGATCACAACATCAGGAGATCGAGACCATCCTGGCCAACATGGTGAAACCCCATCTCTACTAAAAATACAAAATAGCCTTGTTTGGTGGCAGGCGCCTGTAATCCCAGCTACTCGGGAGGCTGAGGCAGAGAATTGCTTGAACCTGGGAGGCGGAGGTTGCAGTGAGCCAAGATCGCGCCACTGCTGTCCAGCCTGGGTGACAGAGTAAGTCTCTGTCTCAAAAAGAAAAAGAAAAATTAACCCTTCTTTCTCAGTAGTATAGTTTGTGAGGGTAGACAGAAGCCTGAACAGGCCCTCCTGAGGAAGCAGTTTCTATAGGCATTTGGTGGCACCTTGAAACTGCTCTCCATCTTCTAGCTGATCCCCTATTGGCTGCAGTTAGCCACAATCCTCCTAATGCACATGTCTCTTGCCCTATCCTCGTGGCAGTTCCCAGCAGGCCCACAAACCGACCCCCTGACCCCCATCCCAGATGTTCTCCTTGTGCTCACCTTCCTGGCTTTTCCATCAAACCATCTTTGTCACGCCCTGTCCCCACCTGGAGTCAGAAAGCCTGAAAAGAAGATGCCTGTCTGTCCTGGCTTTGTAGATGGAAGCCAGTCTAGCACCATCACTCTGCCCTTTCCCCAAGGGAAAAGAGAGTGAGAGGCCAAGTGCCATGGAAGATCACTTGAGGCCAGGAGCCCAGGACCAGCCTGGTCAACAGAGTGAGACACCATCTCTACAAAAATTAAAACATTAGCCAGGCATGGTGGTACATGTGTGCAGTCGTAGCTACTTGGGAAGCTAAGGCAAGAGGATTGCTTGAGCCCCAGGAGTTTGAGGCTGCAGTGAGTTAGGAGTGGGCCACTGTATTCCAGCCTGAGTGACAGTGAGACCAACACACACACACACACACACACAAATAGTGGCGGGGGGCTTGAGGTAGGGGTGAGGGAGTGGGGTGGGAGAGCCTTTCCTAACACTAACCTTTCTTATTTGTAACTACCCCCTCTACCTGGCAGGAGGAAGTCCAATCAGGTGTTCTCATGATTTGGCCCTAACGCCTCTAGTCTCAAAATCAGCATTCCTAAAATATTCCTTATCCCCTCAATCTTATTCTGTATCATTATTGTACATGTGCTTCCCAATACTGGGAATCTTCTCCATCAAAAGCAAAGTCTTTCCTATGAATCCTACCTAGATGCTATGTTCCCCATGATACTTTGCAAGTTTCACTCCAACTAGTCAGTAAGTTACCAAAAAGCATTCTTTGAACTACCCTAGCACCTATAAGGGTCAGGTAATGTTTTAGCCTTTCATGTGACCTTTTAACTATTAAAGTAACTCCTTAAAAAACATGTAAAAACCTTGTATTTACCAAAAGTGTAAACTGCAGAACTAAATAGCAATGAAAAACACCCATAAAGCCTGTAGATAGTTTTTAAGAAAATTTTTACTTCCTTTAAAAAACTGACATTAATATTGAATATATGTACATCTTAAAACTTCACCCAGGCTGGGCGCGGTGGCTCACGCCTATAATCCCAGCACTTTGGGAGGCCAAGGGGGCCGGATTACCTGAGGTTAGGAGTTCAAGACCAGCCTGGCCAACATGGTGAAACCCTGTCTCTACTGAAAATACAAAAATTAACCGGGCATGGTGGCACATGCCTGTAATCCCAGCTACTCAGGAGGCTGAGGCAGAATTGCTTGAGCCCAGGAGGTGGAGGCTGCAGTGAGCCGAGATTGTGCCACTGCACTCCAGCCTGGCTGACAGAGCGAGACTGTCTCAAAACAAACAAACAAACAAATAAACTTCACCCAGACTATTCTGGGCACACTGTCCATGGGTTAACCCTGTTTTGCAAGGAGCAGTAAACAACAGAAACAAAACCTCCAAACTTAGTGAAAACAAGGCATTCAATGACAGACCAGCAGCAGAAACTCCTTATTACCTACTAATCATTTTATGAAGAAACATCTATATAAAACCCAACACTAAAGAGAACAAATAGATTTAACTAAAGTGACAAGCATAATTATAAATAAATACCAGATTACCAGATTTTAAACAATAATCTGTAAAAGTTTTACTACCTAAGGATTTTCACTCCAAGAAGAAAAAATACATAGTAACGCCAAGCTTGCAGGATGATGACTTAACAGATACATTTTCTCTTAATGGAAACTTATCTAGCTTCAGTAATATTTCTGGATGTAGCATCAAGTTGCTGTTGCACATTTTTAAAAGACTGGTCCACCAGTGTTTCCTCTAATTTTAATTCCTCTTCTTCACTTAAATTATTAGCAATAGCATCATTACATGGATTGTCTAGAATGTCTTCGTTTAATCCATTTGACTCATCCTTTTGATCTTCATCAGTATTAACCTCTTCAACCATGTGTGCCCTGGCTGTATTCATTAACATATCTGAAAAAAATCATACCATTATTATTCATTATAAGTACCTGATCCAATCTTACCACAGAAGTACAAACCTCTTCAAAAGCTTAGTTTAGTAAAATGAAATCTATGATCACTTAATGTTAATTATGATCACTTTCTTCTAAATACACTTTTTTTTTTTTTTGAGATGGAATCTCGCTCCGTCACCTTGGCTGGAGTGCAATGGAGCAATCTGGGCTTACTGCAACCTCTGCCGGGTTCAAGCGATTCTCCTGCCTCAGCTTCCTGAGTAGCTGGGATTACAGGTGCCTGCCACCACACCCGGCTAATTTTTGTATTTTTAGTAGAGACAGGGTTTCACTATGTTGGCCAGACTGGTCTTGAACTCCTGACCTCAGGTGATCCACCCGCCTCAGGCTCCCAAAGTCCTAGGATTATAGGCATGAGCTACCATGCCTGGCCTATAAACCCATTTTTATACAACTAAGATCCATTTTAAATGCAAGAGAGGCCAGGCCCAATCCCAACAATTTGGAAGGCTGAGGTGGGAGGATCACTGGAGCTCAGGAGTTCAGGACCAGCCTGGGCCACATAGTGAGACCCCATGTCAACAAAACAAAACAAAACAAAATTAGCTGGGTATGATGGCAAACTGTGACCGTGCCACTGTACTCCAGCCTGGGTGACACGGTGAGACCCTGTAACAACAACAAAAAAAAAAGCAAAATGGTTTTCAATATTATTAAATTCACACTCTTGGATCATAGTCAAATGTAACTGTTCTTATTCAAAATCAAAACTACTATTGGCCGGGCACAGTGGATCATGCCTGTAATCTCGGCACTTTGGGAGGCTGAGGCAGGCAGATCACTCAAGGTCAGGAGTTCAAGACCAGTCTGGCCAATATGATGAAACCCTGCCTCTACAAAAAATACAAAGATTAGCCGGACGTGGTGGAGCACACCTGTAATCCCAGCTACTAGGGAGGCTGAGACAGGAGAATTGCTTGAACCTGGGAGGCAGAAGTTGCAGTGAGCCGAGATCAGCAACTACACTCCAGTCTGGGCAACAGAGCGAGGCCCCATCTAAAAACAAAAATCGTAACTACTAAAAAGAGATCCAATAAAAACCAAATGCATTTAAGTTTTATGTCAGAGTGATCCATAAGAAACTTTAAAGTACTTATTTCCATTTGGACAAATTTTAAGTTGTGTATGATAAACAGAGGTAAGCTTTAAATACCAATTGCCAGGTATACTTGATATTGACAGCAAGGAAGCCACTGCCATCAAAAAAATGCTATCTTCATACAATGTTTCACATGGTACTAATAAAACATCCATTTATAAAGAAAAAGTAAATTGGCCTGGCGTGGTGGCTCACGCCTGTAATCCCAGCACTTTGGGACGCCGAGGCAGGCGGCGAGGTCAGGAGATCGAGACCATCCTGGCTAACACGGTGAAACCCCATCTCCACTAAAAATACAAAAAATTAGCCAGTCATGGTGGCGGGCACCTGTGGTCCTAGCTACTCTGGAGGCTGAGGCAGGAGAATGGTGTGGACGAAGGAGGCAGAGCTTATAGTGAGCCGAGATCGTGCCACTGCACTCCATCCTGGGCGACAGAGTGAGACTCCATCTCGAAAAATAAAAAAAGAAAAAGAAAAAGTAAATTCAGCCGGGTGCGATGGGTCACGCCTGTAATCCCAGCACTTTGGGAGGCTGAGGCGGGCAGATCACGAGGTCAGGAGTTCAATACCAGCCTGGCCAACACAGTGAAACCCCATCTCTACTAAAAATACAAAAATTAGCCAGGCGTCACGGCATGCACTTGTAGTCTTAGCTACTTGGGAGGCTGAAGCAGGGGAATTGCTTGAACCCAGGAGGCAGAGGTTGCAGTGAGCTACAGAGCAAGACTCCATCTAAAAAAAGAAAAGAAAAAGTAAATTCATCTTAATTGAAAAGAAAAAAAAGGTAGCCAAAATAATTTTCACTTGAAAATTTTAATATATTGGGTGAAACTTCTTTTACAACATGGAATCTTTTTTTTTTTTTTTTTTTTTTGTAGAGACAGGGTCTCACTATGTTGCCCAGGCTGGTCTTGAACTCCCGGGCTCAAGTGATCTGCCCGCCTCAGCCTCCCAAAGTGCTGGGATTACAGGCAAGAGCCAGTGTGCTGGGCCTATAATTCTTATTTTTCCATTTTGAAAGGAAAAACTGAATTGGAAATTAAGAAAGATACACACAATCCTGCTTATTTCATTGAAAACCAACTTGCAATTCTTTCTAAATATAGTTTTAACAAATTTGGTTATGTAGTTTCCAAATCCACAATCTCTGTTAAAAACAGCAAATTTAGGCCAGGTACACTGGCTCACACCTGTAATCCCAGCACTTTGGAAGCTCAATGCTGGAGGATTGCTTCAGACCAGAAGTTCAAGGCTGCAGTGAGGCAAGATCACACCACTGCACTCTAGCCTGGGTGACAGATTGACAGTTTCTAAAAATAGTAATAATAATAATTTTTTTTAATAAAGCAATTTTTCAGGCAGTTTTAGAAGTGAGAAGGGAATGCTACAGATAAGCAAATTAAACAGCTACTTTAAAAGTACAACTCACAACCAAGTGACAAAACACAAGAAAAAGCATTTTTTTTTTCTTTTGGTGGGGGGAGAGGAGTCTTGCTCTGTCACCCAGGCTGGAGTGTAGTGGCCCTGATCTCAGCTCGCTTCAACCTCCACTTCCCAGGTTCAAGCAATTCTCCTGCCTCAGCCCGAGTAGCTGGGATTACAGGCAGGCACACACCACCATGCCCGGCTAATTTCTGTATTTTTAGTAGAGACAGGGTTTCAGCATGTTGGCCAGGATGGTCTCGATCTCCTGACCTTGTGATCCACCCGCCTCGGCCTCCCAAAGTATTAGGATTACAGACGCAAGCCACCACACCCGGCCTCTTCTTTTTTTTTTTTTTTTTTGAGATGGAGTTTTGCTCTTGTCGCCCAGGCTGGAGTGCAATGGGTTGATCTCAGCTCACTGCAACCTCCACCTCCTGGATTCAAGCAATTCTGCCTCAGCCTCCCAAGTGACTGGGATTACAGGTGCACACCACCATGCACAGTTAATTTTTGTATTTTTAGTAGAGATGGGGTTTCACCATGTTGGCCAGGCTAGTCTTGAACTCCTGACCTTAGGTGATCTGCCCACCTTGGCCTCCTAAAGTGCTGGGATTACAGGCATGAGCCACCGCACCTGGCCTTTTCTTTTCTTTATGTATTATTATAATTATTGTCCTAAAGGTAATAGTATATGACACATGCTTTAAGGAGTCAGGGAAGAATAAGTTTATCAAGAATTTAAAATCAATTTTAAGTGATTAAAATGTTTTTTTTCTTTTTTTTTTTTTTTTTTTTGAGACGGAGTCTCGCTCTGCCACCCAGGCTGGAGTGCAGTGGCCGGATCTCAGCTCACTGCAAGCTCCGCTTCCCGGGTTCACGCCATTCTCCTGCCTCAGCCTCCCGAGTAGCTGGGACTACAGGCGCCCGCCACCACGCCGGGCTCATTTTTTGTGTTTTTTTAGTAGAGACGGGGTTTCACCGTGTTAGCCAGGATGGTCTCGATCTCCTGACCTCGTAATCTGCCCATCTCGGCCTCCCAAAGTGCTGGGATTACAGGCTTGAGCCACCGCGCCCGGCCCCTTAAAATGTTTTTTTCTTTTCAAGAGTCTCACTCACTCACCCAGGCTGGAGTGCAGTGGCACGATCTTGGCTCACTGCAACCTCCACCTTCTTGATTCAAGTGATTCCTGTACCTCAGCCTCCGGAGTAGCTGGGATTACTGGTGTGCACCACCACGCCTGGCTAATTTTTGTAATTTTAGTATAGAGATGGGGTTTCACCATGTTGGCCAGTCTGGTCTCCAGGTGATCTACCCACCTTGGCCTCCCAAAGTGCTGAGGTTACAGGCATGAGCCACCGCGCCTGGCCAGGTGATTAAAATAATTTTTTAAGAGGTGCTCAGCTATCTAGAAAACCATCCTAGATTCATTTATTCTTTGAGGAACACATACATTCTCTCCCTCCTCTCTCACACACACAGTCTCTAAAATATACATAAACTTAATATCACACTTTTCCACTCCTAGAAGTATTTTATTTTGGGGGCTAGCAGAGATGTTAAAATATCTAACATGTCCTTGATATATTAATGGTAGCACATAAAATTTGGCGTAAAATTTACCATTTTCTAGGGACTGACTATTACTCAGCAGCTTTGCCTGCCTTCTTTCCAAGGCCAGTTGTTTATTTCTCTCAATTCTTTGTTGTTGCTCTTCTGTTAGGCTTCTACTTGACTCAGAAGCAAATATCTCACTTTCAGATGAGTTTGTCAGAAAGGGATCTAATTCAGTAGCAGTTACATCATGTTCATTATTTTCCACAACTTCATCTGCAATAGAAAAGAAACGGTACATCTGCAGTGTTAGACTAGTTAGAGAAGGGCTTCTCATTGAAAAAGGATTTAAAGTGGCACGGTGCCAGACCTGAAGAAACAATTTGTGAGGTATAAGAATGTTGTGAATACATGCTTGATTCAATTAAATAAGAAATATTTATAATTCAGTTTAAAAAGGCATGTTAAGTCAAATGAAAATACAATTTAAAATATGCATGAAGGCCGGGCACGGTGGCTCACGCCTGTAATCCCAGCACTTTGGTAGGCCAAGGCGGGTGGATCACAAGGTCAGGAGTTCAAGACCAGCCTGGTCAACGTGGTAAAACCCCATCTCAACTAAAAATATAAAAAAATTAGCTGGGCACGGTGGCACATGCCTATAATCCCAGCTACTCGGGAGGCTGAGGCAGGAGACTTGCTTGAACCGGGACCTGGGAGGCAGAGGTAGCAGTGAGCAAGATTGCATCGCACCACTGCATTCTAGCCTAGGCTACAGAGCAAGACTCTGTCTCAAAAAAAAAAAAAAAAAAAAAAGAAAAGAAAGGAAAGGAAACAAAAAGTTCTTGGTTGTAATTAGAAATATTTTATGCTTGGCCTAATCAAAGAGCTTAAGGAATCCAAACCATATTCTTGTTCTACATTAAACCAACACATTTCAATAGTTTCCCAGTGACTATATGGGAAAAGGTTATTTTATTTTACTTTATTTTTTGAGATAGAGTTTCACTCTTGTAACCCAGGCTAGAGTACAATGGCTCGATCTTGGCTCACTGCAACCTCCACCTCCCAGGTTCAAGTGATTTTCCTCCATCAGCCTCCCAAGTAGCTGGGATTACAGGCACCCACCACCATGCCCAGCTAATTTTTGTATTTTTAGTAGAAACAGGGTTTCACTATGTTGACCAGGCTGGTCTCAAATTCCTGACCTGAGGTGATCCACTTGCCTCAGCCTCTCAAAGTGCTGAGATTACAGGCGTGAGCCAATGCATCCAGCCAGTAAAAGGTAAGTTTATATAGACATTATCTTTTGTAGAGTTAAACACAGACAAATGAAAAAAGAAATTTAAAAATCTATGGACATATTTCCAAATGAATTTCTTTTTAAATTCAGTGTGGTTTACATTATAAGTAACAAATTCTTAAAGCCCTGTAAACCAGTTAACTCAAGGTAGGATGTCCCCAAAATGATCCACAGTGGTATGAAAGTAAATAATAGATCTTCCATTTATATTTCATTTAAGAATTAAGAAGAACTATGTTTTAGTAACACATTTAAAATAAGACTGGCAGTTGTTAACTGTCCCTTGTCCTTATGATAGTTACTGTCTGATCTGTGAGCCACTCTATAGGCAAGATCCACACTGTAAAAGGGTGGAGAATGGGGCCCCTACTCACTTTACAATTTCAGATATACAGCTGTTTCTGATTGCCCAGTCAAATAAACTTACGGATTTCATCTTACTTTAACCAAACAACCCCAACAAAATGAACAAGTGTTAGGTTAAAAAGATTCTACAAAATAACAAAATGTCTGTAAGTAGAATAGAAGCACAAGCAAAATAAAAAAACAGCAGAGCTGACACTTTACCTTCTATCTACATCATTCATATTATGAAATTTTAAAAAAAGATAGGCCAGGCACGGTGGCTCAAGCCTGTAATACCAGCACTTTGGGAGGCCAAGACGGGCGGATCACAAGGTCAGGAGATCGAGACCATCCTGGTTAACACGGTGAAACCCCGTCTCTACTAAAAAAATACAAAAAAACTAGCCGGGCATGGTGGCGGGCGCCTGCAGTCCCAGCTACCTGGGAAGCTGAGGCAGGAGAATGGCGTAAACCCGGGAGGCGGAGCTTGCAGTGAGCTGAGATCCGGCCACTGCACTCCAGCCTGGGCGACAGAGCGAGACTCCATCTCAAAAAAAAAAAAAAGATAAACCCCATCACATCTGACAAGTTGGTCAAAACATTCAAGTCACCATTTGAAATATGTCTTTATATATACTATGCTTGTTCTATGTACATATTATGCCTTGAAATATTAGCTAATTATAGAAAAACCATCACAATTTAAAAAAATTTAAGGGCTGGGTGTGGTGGCTCATGCCTGTAATCCCAGCATTTTGGGAGGCTGAGGCAGGCAGATCACAAGGTCAGGAGATCGAGACCATCCTGGCTAACACGGTGAAACCCTGTCTCTTCTTCAAAAAATACAAAAATTAGCCAGGCATGGTGGCAGGCGCCTGTAGTCCCAGTTACTCAGGAGGCTGAGGCAGGAGAATGGCGTGAACCTGGGAGGCAGAGCTGGCAGGAAGCCGAGATCGCGCCACTGCACTCCAGCCTAGGCGACAACAGCAAGAGTCCGTCTCAAAAAACAAACAAGCAAACAAAAAAACAAATATTTAAAACATAAAGACAGACCTTTATAATTATTTTCAGTGAGATATAAAAATCATATGATACTTAATTCCGCCCTTTACAATCAAATTCTCTTTTAAGATTTCTTCCTTAATAGTGAAAAATGAAAAGCCACTTTTCCTTCCTGACATGGAAAACAAAAATGTAGCAAGAAACTAAAATGGCCTCCATTGTCAGGAAATACTGATACAGTATATGTAAGAAACATTGCTGAAGCAGTTAAGAAACAAGCATTAGAGCCACTTATGAGCCAGGCCCAGTGGCTCACACCTGTAATCCCAGCACTTTGGGAGGCTGAGGCAGGCAGATCACCTGAGGTCAGGAGTTCAAGACCAGCCTGACCAACATGGTGAAACCCTGTCTCTACTAAAAATACAAAATTAGCCAGGCGTGGTGGCGCATGCCTGTAATCCCAGCTACTCAGGAGGCTGAGGCAGGAGAATTGCTTGAACCAGGGAGGCGGAGGTTGTGGTGAGCCAAGGTCATGCCATTGCACCCCAGCCTGGGCAACAAGGGTGAAACTCCATCTCAAAAAAAAAAAACCACTTATGAAACGTGTTTTTAATGTGCTTCCTCTTACAGGGTTGCAGGATTCTAAATCAATAACAAAATACATAAATAACTAATTTTTTTTTTTGTTTTTTCAAGAGATGGGGTCTCACTCTGTCATCCAGGCTAGAGTACAGTGGCATGATCATAGTTCACTCCAGCCTCAAACTCCTTGGACTCAAAGGATCCTCGTGCCTCAGCCTTCTAAATAGCTGGGACTATGGGTGTTGACCACTCTGGTCCCTAACTTCTGGGTTCAAATGAACTCAAAGAACTAATTTTGACTGGGCAAGGTGGCTCACGCCTGTAATCCTGGCACTTTGGGAAACTGAGGCAGAAGGACTGCTTGAGAACAAGAGTTCAAGACCAACATGACCAACACAGCAAGACCCCGTCTCTATTACAAAGAATAGTGGGAAAAAAAAAAAAAAAACTACTTTTTATGAACCAAGAAAAGAAAGGTATCTTCAGTAGTAGATGACCTATTTATATAAACAATATATTTTGTAAGAAGCAGCTGGTTCCTTTGAGTAGGATTAAAATGAGAGTGCAGCAGCTCATGCCTGTAATCCCAGCACTTTGGGAAACCAAGGTGGGAGGATCACATGGACCCAGGAGTTTGAGACCAGCCTGCGAAACATAGGGAGACCCCAACCAGGCGCGATGGCTCACGCCTGTAATTCCAGCACTTTGGGAGGCTGAGGAGGGTGGATCACGAGGTCAGGAGATCGAGACCATACTGGCTAACACAGTGAAACCCTGTCTCTACTAAAAACACAAAAAATTAGCCGGGCGTGGTGGCAGGCGCCTGTAATTTACTCGGGAGGCTGAGGCAGGAGAATGGCATGAACCCAGGAGGCAGAGCTTGCAGTGAGCAGAGATCCTGCCACTGCACTCCAGCCTGGGTGATAGAGCAAGACTCCGCCTCAAAAAAAAAAAGAAACACAGGGAGATCCTGTCTCTATAAAAAAGAAAACTTGGCCAGGCAGGTGGTGCACGCCAGTAGTCCAAACTACTCAGGAGGCTGAGGTGGGAGGATTGGTTAAGCTCTGGAGGTCAAGGCTGCAGAGCTGTGATCATGCCACTGTGCTCCACTCTGGGCGACAAAGTGAGGTCCTGTCTCAAAAATAAATAAGTAAATAAAAATGAAATGAAATTTTTAAAAATTAGAAGTACACATGAAATTCATTTACTGCAACATTCATTGGCAAGTGATTATGGCAAAGAAGCTAAAGCTAGAAATATTCAATGTGTTACAAGATGCCATCATTGTGGTAAAAACAAACTAAAACATAAGTAAACTATATAAAAATTAAAGGGAAATAAGTGCAATGCAAAAGGAAACAGCACAGGGGAGTCAGAAATGATGGGAGTGGGGATGCAACTATAACAGTGTAATGAGGAGGCTTCACTGAGTTGTCACTTGAGCACGGTTTGAAAGTGTAAGACAGTGATGCAGACTTGAGGGGTACAAGGGAAGAGTGTTCCAGGCAGAGTACAACAATACAAAAGCCTTAGAATAGAAACGTGCCTGAAATGTACAAGGAACAGCTGGAGGCCAAGCACAGTGGCTCACACCTGTAATCCCAGCACGTTGGGAGGCCAAGGCAGACTGTTTGAGGCCAAGAGATAGAGACCAGCCTGGGGAACATAGTGAGATCCTGTCACTACAAAAATTAAATTTAGGTCAGGCGCAGTGGCTCACTGGCTCACGCCTGTAACTCCAGCACTTTGGGAGGCCAAGGCGGGTGGACCACCTGAGATCAGGAGTTTGAGACCAGCCTGGCCAACGTGATGAAACTCGTTTCTACTAAAAATACAAAAATTAGCTGGGTGTGGTGGTGCGCACCTGTAATCCCAGCTACTGGGAGGCTGAGGCAGGAGAATTACTTAAACTCAGGAGGTGGAGGTTGCAATGAGCCGAGATCACACCATTACACTCTAGCCCAGGTGACAGAATGAGACTCCTTCTCAAAAAAAAAAAAAAGTACATCGCAAATCGCATCAGTATGGAAGTAAATGTATTTAAGCAACAAATAAAATGGTCAAAACATTTTTACTTTTGTGGTGCCTGATCAAAAAAATTTGGAGACTATTCTTTTAAGATACAAACAAAATATATCACACAACAAACAAAAATCTCAGATTCAGTTCTCTTATTTGTATCCTGTATTTCAGCATGCTTGTAATTCTCTGAACGGTCCATGTTAATTTATCTTTTTCTTTTTTTTTTTTTTGATATGGAGTTTTGCCCATTTTGCCCAGGCTGGAGTGCAATGGCACCATCTCAGCTCACTGCAACTTCCACCTCCAGGGTTCAAGCAATTCTACTGTCTTAGCCACCCGAGTAACTGGGATTACAGGCATGTGCCACCACGCCAGGCTAATTTTTTGTATTTTTTAGAAGAGATGGGGTTTCACCATGTTGGCCAGGCTGGTCTCGAACTCCTGGCCTCAAGGGATCCGCCCGTCTTGGCCTCCCAAAGTGCTGGGATTACAAGCGTGAGCCACCGTGCCAGGCCTTATTTTTTTTTTTTTTTACTGCCATAGAATATGGAGCCTGAAATCCATGTTAATTTATACCTCTGCATAGGTGGCTCCCTCATTCAAAATCACCTCTGCCTGACCTCTACTGTTCATTCAAAATACTTTTTCTTCTTTTTCATTTCTTTCTTCTTCCTCCCACCCCCAAATCAAAATTCTTCTGAATCCTCCTTTGTGAAGCTCTCCCTCCACCTCCAGGGACATGTAACTATGCTCTCCTTTGCATCCCACCCTGTGACCTACTCATACCTCTAATTACACCTACCACACTACTGGCAACGTTGTATGTCTGATTCATTCATTACTGTATTAGCCCACAAAGGGGCCTGATCTTAGTCATTTTTTTATCCTTGAGCTGTATTACATACCGGGCACCTCAAAAAGTAACCCAGAAGTATATGTGGTGGAATTTAGAACTGCAATAACTCATTCCTTTACATATACCAGTCCTATGCCATCAATACATATTTTACCAAGAAATTTAAATCATGAATTATTTAAATCACATTCTTTCACATGTTTGGAAGTAGTTTATAAATAACTTTAGGGAATTCTACATGGAACTTGTATTTTCTTCCGCATCTGTTAAAAGTTAAAAAACAAAAACAAACATGTATGGAGCCATCGCACAGAAAATCTGATAACTATACAGACCCTGTCGGCAGGAACCATCTGTTTTAATGTGTGTGACTGTCTATGGTTGCATTGTACAACTAACAATGCAATCAATACCAGGAACAGTCACATAGGTCTCACTAAAGTCCTATATCCGAGAGCTGCACTCTAAGTGAAATGCAAACTTTCATCATCAAATCATTCTGCCTAATTTCCCAGTACCACTTTATCCAATGGTATCCAATGGTGCATGTGTATATGAACACTTTATCTTGGTATATATTTTTATTAACAAGTGCTATACAGGATCAGTGGGTCACTAGAGTTCTCAAAAGTTCATATTCTACAACAAATTTGATATACAACATTCTAGATGTAGCAAGGCTTTTTTTTTTTTTTTTTTGAGTTAGAGCCTCACTCTATCACCCAGGCTGGATTGCAGCAGCACAATCTCGGCTCACTGCAACCTCCACTTCCTGGATTCAAGTAATTCTCCCGCCTCAGCCTCCTGAGTAGCTGGGATTACAGGTGTACGCCACCCCACACAGTTAATTTTTGTATTCTCAGTACAGATGGGGTTTCCCCATATCGGTCAGGCTGGTCTCAAACTCCTGACCTCCGCTCACCTCAGCCTCCCTGAGAGTGCTGGGATCACAGGCATGAGCCACCACGCCCAGCCCACTACCAAGGCATTTTAACATACCTATTTATCGTACTTTACCATACTTTAATTATATATTCAATATAGACTAAGGATCCAGTCCTATAATACTGCCTCCTCTAACTACTTCTATTCTTTCTTTTTTTTTTTTTTTTTCTGACAAGGTCTCACCCTATTTATTGCCCAGGCTAGAGTACACTGGTGTGATCCTGGTTCACTGCAGCCTTGAATTCCTGGGTTCAAGTAATCCTCCTGCCTCAACCCCCATGAGTAGCTAGGACAACAGGCATGCACCACCACACCTGATTAACTTTTTAAAAATTTGTATAGATGGGGTCTCACTAGGTTGCCCAGACTGATCTCCAACTCCAGGATTCAAGTAATCCTCCCTCCATGGCCTCCCAAAGTACTGGGGTTGATCCAAAAGTAGTGATTTATCTCAATTCAGTCAGTTACAGATCAAACTCCTTGTTCTACTCTTTCCTCCCTTTTCACTACTGCACTTGACTAGTCTTTAAAAACAAATTAACAAGCCAGGTGCAGTAGCTCACACCTATAATCCCAGCACTTTGGGAGGCCAAGGTAGGTGGATCATGAAGTCAGGAGTTCAGAAACAGCCTGGCCAACATGGTGAAACCCCATCTCTACTTAAAAAAAACTACAAAAATTAGCTGGGCATGATGGCACGTGCCTGTGATCCCAGCTACTCGGGAGGCTGAGGCAGGAGAATTGCTTGAACTGGGACCTGGGAGACGGAGGTTGCAGTGAGCCGAGATTGTAACACTGCACTCTAGCCTGGGCTACAAAGTGAGATTCTGTCTCACAAAAAAAAAAAAAAAAAAAAGTTGGCCAGGCCCAGTATGGCTTGAGGTCAGGAGTGTGAGACCAGCTAAGGCAACGCAGGGAGATCCCCATCTTTACAAAAATTTAAAAATTAGCCAGGCACAATGGCATGCACCTGTAGTCCCAGCTACTTGGGAGGCTGAGGCGGGAAGATCCCTTAAGCCCAGGAGCTGAAGGCTACAGTAAGCTATGATTGTGCTACTGCACTCCAAACTGGGTAACAGAGCAAGATTCTGTCCCTAAACATGAAACAAAAAAGCAAAGTGCTGGGATTACAGGCATGAGCCACCACACCGTGTCTAGATCTATTTCTAAAAGTAAAATTGTTATAAAGTAGATAAACCTATATTCTTACCATTATTGCTAACAAAATCTTCATGTAAAATAGGGAGATCAAGTCGAATTCGTTTCAAACAGGTCTGAAAATGAAAAGAGATATTTATTTTTACCTCTTTACCAATAATGTTGGGGGGGGACTAATTTGCTATTAGTTTTCCCTCTCTACCAAGAGATTCCAAAATGAACATTTTAAACAGTAATTTAGCCTCAACTAAATCTATCCTACCATTTAGCATTATGAATGATATTTATAATCATCTCAACACTTACCTGAACCTCCTTTTTACTTCCCAGGTATTCAACTCTGTCAATAAAATCCTCAAACTGCAGTTTAGGGAATAGCCTATGTGCCCAGTGCTCCATGTGTCTGATTAGCATCTTCAAGTCTTCAGCCTGGCACATAAAAATAAAAATGCTAAACAGGAGTCTCATTCTCACAGCTGACCCTGTCAGCAAGTTTCAGAACTGAAAAGCTATGCCAAAATCACTGGGGTCATTTTGTATTTATAAGGTCAAAAAACTTATAAAAGGAAGTTTATGAATAAGAAAAATATTGGCCAGACAGTTGTTCACACCTGTAATCATAGCACTATGGGAGGCCTAGGGGGACAGATCACTTGAGCTAAGGGGTTTAAGGCCAGCCTGAGGCAATATGGTGAGACCCCGTATTTTCTAAAAATACAAAATATAGCCAGGCGTGGTGGTACACACCTGTGGACCCAGCTATTCAGGTGGCTGAAGTGAGAGGATTGCCTAAACCTGGGGGGCAGAGGTTGCAGTGAACTAAGTTCACACCACCGCACTCCAGACTGGGTGACAGCGAGATCTTATGTCAAAAAAAAAAAGAGAGAGAGAAAGAGAAAATTATTAAGAACTTAGAGGATTGCAGTCTAAAAGAGTACTGGATACAGGTTTTTGTTTTTTTGTTGTTTTTTTTTTTCAGAGAGAGTCTCACTCTCTCACCCAGGCTGAAGTGCAAGGGCAAAGTCTCAGCTCACTGCAACCTCTGCCTCCCGGGTTTAAGCAATTCTCATGCCTCAGACTCCCAAGTAGCTGGGATTAGAGGCGTGCATCACCATGCCCGGCCTAAATTTTGTATTTTTTAGTAGACAGTAGTTTCACCATGTTGGCCAGCCTGGTCTCAAACTCCTGGCCTCAAGTGATTCACCCACCCCGGCCTCCCAAAGTGCTGGGATTACAGCACGAGCCATGGCACCCCACCTGGATACAGATGCATAAAAATTAGATGAAAACAAATCCAAGTACAAAAACTTAATAAAGTTGGCCAAGCGCAGTGTCTCACGCCTGTAATCCCAGCACTTTGGGAGGCCGAGGAGGGTAGATGACCTGAGTCAGGAGTTCCAGATCAGCTTGGCCAACATGGTGAAACCCCATCTCTACTAAAAATACAAAAATTAGTTGGGCGTGGCGGCAGGCACCTGTAATCCCAGCTACTTGGGAGGCTGCGGCAGTAGAATCGCTTGAACCCAAGAGGTGGAGGTTGCAGTGAGCCAAGATCGAGTCACTGCACTCCAGCTTGGGCGACAAGAGTGAAACTCCATCTCAAAAAAAAAAAAAAAACACTTAATAAAGTTAAAAGATAGTAGGCCGAGTGCAGTGGCTCATGCCTGTAATCTCAGCACTTTGGGAGGCCGAGGTGGGCACATCACCTGAGGTCAGGAGTTCGAGACCAGTCTGGCCAACATGGTGAAACCCCGTCTATACGAAAAATACAAAAATTAGCCAGGTAGCTGGGCATGGTGGCTCACGCCTGTAATCCCAGCACTTTGGAAGGCCGAGACAGGCGGATCACGAGGTCAGGAGATTGAGACCATCCTGGCTAACACAGTGAAACCCCGTCTCTACTAAAAATACAAAAATTAGCCGGGCGTGGTGGCGGGCGCCTGTAGTCCCAGCTACTCAGGAGGCTGAGGCAGGAGAATGGTGTGAACCCGGGAGGCGGAGCTTGCAGTGAGTGGAGATCGCACCACTGTACTCCAGCCTGGGCGACAGAGCAAGACTCCGTCTCAAAAAAAAAAAAATCAGCCAGGTATAGTGGCGGGCACCTGTAATCTCAGCTACTTGGGAGGCTGAGGCAGGAGAATCACTTGAACCTGGGAGGCAGAGGTTGCAGTGAGCAAGATCATGCCACTGCACTCCGGCCTGGGCAACAGAGTGAGACTCTGTCTCAAAACAAAAAATAAATAAAACAATAATTTTTTTAAAAAAAGTAATTTAAAAAAAAAAAAAAAACTCTACTTTAACCCTACCCTCTCCCCACTGCACAGCAACACAGGAGCAACATCTACACCACAGGTTGAAAACTAAAGAATATATTAAGAGGCCGGGCACAGTGGCTCATGCCTGTAATCTCAGCACTTTGGGAGGCCACCAAGGCGGGCAGATCACGAGGTCAGGAGATCGAGACCATCCTGGTTAACACGGTGAAACCCCATCTCTACTAAAAATACCAAAAATTAACCGGGCATGGTGGTGGGCGCCTGTAGTCCCAGCTACTCGGGTGGCTGAGGCAGGAGAATGGCGTGAACCCGGGAGACGGTGCTTGCAGTGAGAGGAGATCGCGCCACTGCACTCCAGCCTGGGCGACAGACAAGAGAGACTCCGTCTCAAAAAATAAAACATAAAATAAAAAATAAAATAATATATTAGAAACACTTGAAAAAGCACAAAACTCTCTAAAAATATACTATCATCTGCAAAAAATTATATCTACACTCCCACATAATTCAAAAATAGACTTCAAAATGTGCATATGTATAGTGACTGACAGTTACTAAATGTATTCATTTTTTAACCACACGTTACTGACATTTATTATGAACCAAGCATTGTGCCACATCTTGGGGACACATAAGTGATCGATACAGGCAGAGTCCTTGCCCTCATGAAATTTAAAATCTTTGAGGTAGACAAAGTAAATTTTATTCCTCTAAATTATAAAGTAAAAACTGAGACTTAAAAACACAGGTGTGATTTTCCTATAGACAAGGTTTATGTAGCAAAAAATGAGACAACACAAGACATGCTTTCTAATTCTTCAAACAGTTCCCTGTCTAGTATATCACAACTGTTTCTCAAGATCTCAAGAGATACGACAATTAAGGATAGCATCTTAAAGCATTCTGAGATTTCTAAGAACATAATGGGTCCACATTTTTATTGCTATTGTAAAAAACAAAGGTCTAACATAAAAATCAGAAAGTTCTTACCTCATGACCTTTACCTTTGAATTTTGCCTTATCAAATACATGCCTTAAGGCTGGAAGTCCTCTCTCTGAAATTAATCTGTGAATAAAAATATGTTTTTAATTTCAAGTTTCCTTTTCTTTTTTTTTTGAGAGGGAATCTTGCTGTGTCGCCCAGGCTGAAGCACAGCGGCATGATCTCGGGTCACTACAAGCTCGGCCTCCCCTGGGTTCACATCATTCTCCTGCCTCAGCCTCCCAAGTAGCTGGGACTACAGGCGCCCACCACGGCGCCCAGCTAATTTTTTTTTTTTTAGTGGAGACAGGGTTTCACCATGTTAGCTAGGATGGTCTCGATCTCCTGACCTCGTGATCCGCCCGCCTCGGCCTCCCAAAATGCTGGGATTACAGGCGTGAGCCACCACGCCCGACCTAATTTCCAAGTTTTCTCGAGTTTGGTCCAAAGCAAGACCGTAAGAAAAAATGTTCTGCTGAACTAAAAAAACTTTTTTAGAAATATAAGAGCTCTACATCATACCAACCAAAAGTTTATAACATTAGAAGAAAAACAGTGGATGTTAAAAATAAAAAGTATAAATATATACGAATATAGTAAATGTACCTCTGAGCATCCAGCTTGGGTATATTTCTTTTAACTGTTCTCTTTGGAGGTACAGGAACAAGTGCTCCACTTCCTGACTCTGGTGAAACATACCAAGATTCAGTATTACTGTATTTAAATAATTTGTATTATTTATTTTGTATCATTTCGAAGCTGATAAGATAACTAAACATAGGACATCTTGTTTTGAAACAGGGTCTCACTCTGTTGCCCACGCTGGAGTGCAGTGGTGAGATCTTGGCTCACTGCAGCCTCAAACTCCTGGGCTCAAGCGATTCTCCTGCCTTAGCATCCTGAGTATCTGAAACTACAGGCGTGGCCTACCACACGCGGGTAATTTTCAAATCTTTAGTAGAGACGAGGTCTTGCTATGTTGCCCAGGCTGGTCTTGAAATCCTGGGCTCAAGCCATCCTCCTGCCTTGGCCTCCCAAAGTGCTGAGATTACAGGCAGGACCCAGTGTGCCCAGCCTCCTTTTTTTTTTCTTTTTTCTCCTCAAATACCTTTTACCACAGCCTCCTTTTACCACAGCCACCACGGCCCAGCTAATTTTTGTATTTTTAGTAGAGACGGGGTTTCACCATGTTGGCCAGGCTGGTCTCAAATTCCTGACCTTTTGATCCACCCGCCTCGGCCTCCCAAAGTGCTGGAATTACAGGCATGAGCCACTGTGGCCGGCCTCACAGCCTCCTTTTTAAAACTCTCTATACATACCTTCATCAGGCTCAATTCCTTCACCGTCTTGTCTCTCTGGAGAGGCTGGAGGTGGGAAAGGAGGAAAAGTTTCATCTTCTACATGCTCATAATCTGGTAGGTCAATCATGCCATTCTCCTGTGGTTCTAGCATCTTTTCCTCTAAGGGAAAAAATGTAAAGTTATTTGTATTCATCCAAATAGTCTCCACTATATAGACAAGTTCTACCTGCAGCCATTTCATGTGTTTCAATCAGTTAGACCACATTTCAAACTTACACATCATGAAAAGTAGAGAAGATACTAATTATGAAAAAAAGGACTAGCCTAGAAATCAGAACTAAGTTCCAAGGTAGACCCTAACACTAAATATCTGTATCATTTTGAACAAATCGTTGTACCTCAACTATCGAGCTTCCCCTACCATAAAAAGATAAATTTTGGGCCAGGCGCGGTGGTTCATGCCTATAATCCCTTTGGGAGGCTGAGGCGGGCAGATTACCTGAGGTCGGGAGTTTGAGACCAGCCTGACCAACATGGAGAAACCCGTCTCTACTAAAAATACAAAATTAGCCGGGCATGGTGGCACATGCCTGTAATCCCAGCTACTTGGGAGGCTGAGGCAGGAGAATCGCTTGAATCCGGGGGGCAGAGGTTGCGGTGAGCCGAGATCGTGCCATTGCACTCCAGCCTGGGCAACAAGAGCGAAACTCCATCTCAGAAAAAAAGAAAAAAGATAAATTTGACTTTTCAGAGGGTTTCAAACTGTGATCCAATAGGGTATGAAATACGCAGGATATAGGTACTTCACCCCCACTTCAAGTAGAGCAGCTTAAAAAAAAAAAATCTGCCGGGCGCGGTGGCTCACGCCTGTAATTCCAGCACTTTGGGAAGCTAGGGCAGGTGGATCACAAGGTCAGGGGATCGAGATCATCCTGTGAATGGTGAAATCCCGTTTCTACTAAAAATACAAAAAATTAGCCGGGCTTGGTGGCGGGCGCCTGTCGTCCCAGCTACTCAGGAGGCTGAGGCGGGAGAATGGCGTGAACCTGGGAGGCGGAGGTTGCAGTGAGCCAAGATGATGCCACTGCACTCCAGCCTGGGCCACAGAGCAAGACTCCATCTTAAAAAAATAAAATAAAATAAAAAATAAAAAAATCTCTTTATATACACCTACTATGTGCCCACAAAAATTAAAAGTAAAAAAAAATTTTTTTAATGTGTTTACATATTGGTGTTCTAGGTAAGGCTTCCTTTAAAGAATGGGAAATTATCCTCGGGTTGATAACTCGAAAGAATGTTTTTCAGTACTGCCTTACTTAACTTCTCAGTAACAACTGACACTTTTGGTCAGTTTTTTTCTGGGAAAAATGTTTACCTTAACTTTTAAGACACAGTATTCACCTGGCTTTTCTCCCTTTCTGGGAACTCCTCCTGGATTTTCCTTGCAGGTTTATCTTCTAACCTGGCCATTAAGTATCCAAGACTCAATCCTAGGGCTTCTTCATTCATTTATGCATAGTTTTAATAAGAACTTATTTATTGATGACTCCCTGATTTTCATCTTTACCCTAGGCCTTGACTCTCCGATCCAGATCACTATTTCCCATTTTACACCTCCCAAATGCCTGAAAGGCACCTGTAATTCAACATGTACAAAACCAAACTTCTAAATTTTCCTAATTCAATGAATGACATCTATCCAGCTAAGCAATTCAGAAACCTACAAGTCATCTTTAGCAATTCCTTCCCTCTATCCCACAGATCCTGCCCATTTTATTTCCTAAATATCCCTTGAATCTATTTCTCCTTATCTCTATAACCACTTCCAACATTTCTTGCTTGCATTACTCCACTACTCTCATCCACTCTTGCCTTCTTCAATTGTCCGTATTACATCTAGACTGAATCTGAAAATGTAAAGCTGATCACCTCACTTGGCTTAAGTATTTCAATGGTTTCTGATTGCTCTTAAGATAAAGACAAAACTCCAAGGCCCTATGTGATCTGGCCTCTTACAACCTCACCAACCTCACTTCACACTACTCTATGCTTTTTCTTTCCCTGAAAGAGCTATATTCCTCAGGCCACTAGATCTTTACAAATACTATTTCCTGTCTTGAAAAAGCTATACCTTGACTCCTATCTCTTTCAGATATCAACTATCACCTTTTCAAAAGTTTACCTCAATTTCTCTAAATCCTTCTTTAGTAAGCATTCATAGTGTCAAGTACAAATATCATGGCACTTATCCAGTTTCAATATCAGGTTTTATTTATACAGTTATTTATTGTTCGTCTCCCAAACTAGACTGTAGCTCAAAAAGGGCAACCAGGTAGGTCTCTCTGTGCTACACAGCTCGAACCCCAGTGCTGGTACACAGCAGGTGCAGGTGCTCAATATATATTTGATGAATGATGGAATGCAAAAAAATAATTCCAAAGTTTCCCCAAATTGGAGTTAGATGATCTTTAAAATCTCACTAATTCTAAATTTCGATTACCATAAATATAAAAGCAAAGCATCAGCTGGGCGCGGTGGCTCACGCCTGTAATCCCAGCACTGTGGGAGGTCGAGGCGGATGGATCATGAGGTCAGGAGTTCAAGACCAGCCTGGCCAACACAGTGAAACCCCGTCTCTACTAAAAATACAAAAAAAAATTAGCCAAGTGTGGTGGCGGGCGCCTGTAGTCCCAGCTACTCCGGAGGCTGAGGAAGGAGAATCGTTTGAACCCAGGAGGCGGAGCTTGCAGTGAGCCAAGACCGCGCTATCGCACTTCAGCCTGGGCGACAGAGCCAGACTCCGTTTCAAAAAAAAAAAAAGCAAAGCATCAATTCCCGATCATGACCCACGGTAGCTTCAAGTAAGCTACAAGAATCTATACTAGGGTTCAGAACTTTGAGGCTGACAGTGAGCTTTTAGTTTGATGACAGTACCTAAAATATATTAAGTGCACTCAAGAACTGGCCAAGCACGGGGTGGGGATTGTCAGGAAACTGATATTTCTTCTATTTGTAGTGAACAAGACGCTCAATAGACGACTTTTACTCTGCGTCAGTGGTCGCATAACTGTCTCTTTTTAGATATTTATGAAATTGTGTGAACTTCCTCCTCTACTCCTCAAACTCCCAGAAGAGTTAAGGTAACAAATGTTATGTCCAAACCACGGTTTGTTCCCAGACCCTGGTTTCCAATGCCCACCTCTTTTCCAAGAAGTCCAAAGAGATGGCCCTCATCGCAAAGGAAGTGCTACCGTGCTGCCTCGATGTCCCCCTTGGGTGCCACCCCTGAAACATCGAACCTCCTATACCTCTTCTCCAGCCGCCCCCCTCATCCCCGATCCCCGCCTATCTTCTCTTTAACTTCATTCATTCATCCAACATTCGCTGGGCGCTTTCTACATTGACACGCCCCGGACATAAGACTGGGGTAAAGATGATCAGGAACACATTCCCTCCCGCTAAGGGGCTTGGCAGAGTAAGAGGCAGCCCAAAACCTAAGCAACCGGGACACGCGCCCGCCTCCCCGCCTCTCCAGGCCAGGTCAGGTTGACTCCCCAAGCCTCCTGACCCGCTGCGACAATTAGGCTTTCCCGCTCGTCCGTTTGGCTCCCTGGCTCGTCCGTCTGGCTCCCTGGCTCTTCCGTCTGGCTCCCTGGCTCGTCCATCTGGCTCCCTGGCTAGTCCCTCTGACTTCCCTCTCCCCGCAAGAACTTCACTGGCCCGCCAGTCAGTCCTCACCTCACACAGAAAACACCGACCACAGAGCTTACCTCGGCGTGCAGACTAAGCGCGCTTCTCGCGATACTCGGGAACTCCCGGGGCAAGTAAGGCCCGCAGCGTTTGGCGCCAAATCCGCGCGCGAGCTGGGCGGGGCCTGCAAGACCCGCCTCTCAGGTTCCGCCCACCACACCGGTCCCGCCTCCGGTCCCACTGTTTCCGCCCTCTGAATTCTTCAGAGGGCCTCCTTATTTTCATAAAGCTAATACTAGTTATTCTGGGCTTTTTTTTTTTTTTTTTCTTGAGACTAAGTCTCGCTCTATCACTCAGGCTGGAAAGCAGTGACTCGATCTCGGTTGACTAGTCTCTAGCTCCCGGACTGAAACGATCCTCCCACCTCAGCCTCTCTTCCCCGACTACCACCACCACACCCAGCTAATTTTTGTTTTAATGGGTTTGTTTGTTTGTTTGTTTGTTTGTTTGTTTTGCAAAGACGGGGATTAGCTGCCTAGGCTGGTCTCGAACTCCTTGGCTCAAGCGAGCTTCCCGCCTCAGCTTCCCAAAGTGCTGGGATTACAGGCGTGAGCCACCGCGCCCGGCCGCGCCCAGCACTTTAAACCCTGGAAATAGGTCTCAGTTTTTGGAAAACTGAGTTGTAGAAGGAGGAAAAATGACAAAGGCAAGCAATAGTGAATGAGAAATTACCGCTTCTTCAGAGTTCATAGCAGAATGCCTTGAACTCAGAGTTTTATGAATTGTTTATTGAATAATAAACTGAGAAAAGAGGTGGTAAAGAGAGGAAAAATAAGGTTGAATGTAGACACTGGCCGGGTGCGGTGTGGCTCACGCCTGTAATCCCAGCACTTTGGGAGGCCCAGGCGGGCGAATCGCTTGAGCCCAGAAGTTCAAGGCTTGCAGTGACTAGGATCGCACTGCTGGCGATCCAGCTGGAGATCCAGCCTGGGTGACACAGTAAGACCCTGTTGCCAAAAAAAAAAAAAAAAAAAAAAAGAGAGTGTGAATGTAAACAAAAAGAAAAATGTCAAAAATATGTTACTTGGGACTGGGTGCAGTGGCTCACGCCTATAATCCCAGCACTTTGGGAGGCCGAGGCGGGCAGATCACGAGGTCAGGAGTTCGAGACCAGCCTGACCAACATGGTGAAACCCCATCTCTACTAAAAATACAAAAATTAGCCCAGCGTGGTGGCGTACGCCTGTAATTCCAGCTACTCAGGAGGCTGAGGCAGGAGTATCGCTTGAACCTGGGAGGTAGAGGTTGCAGTGAGCCGAGATCATGCCACTGTACTCCAGCCCTGGCGACAGAGCAAGACTCTGTCTCAAAAAAAAAGTTATTTGGCTGGGCACGGTGGCTCAAGCCTGTAATCCCAGCACTTTGGGAGGCCGAGACGGGCGGATCACGAGGTCAGGAGATCCAGACCA